TTCTCATGCACGGAGGCACGCTGGCACGACACCAGCAAGGAGGCACTCATTCTCATGCACGGAGGCACGCTGGCATGGCACCAGCAAGGAGGCACTTTGGTCCACGCTAATGTCTCCGTGCACAACAAGCACGATGGCGAAGACATGAGGGCTCTGGTGTCTCCGTGTGCAGAAAGGGGGCTTTCCAAGCATAAAACCCTCCTTCCTTGCAATAAAATTCTCAAAATATTACATATTGTAACAGATAAGAAAAGCGTAGAAGAAAGAAGAACAAAATAGTTGAACTAATTGTAGGAGAACAAAGTAAAGTTAATAACTTGAGGTTCTCTGTTACTAACTTATTAAAATTAACTGATAATTGTATACTTCAAAAGGGATACAATTACTAAACGGTTTGTAACCATATATTTTATATCTACATCAAGGAAAGAACAAAAGCCAAGTTCTGATCAATTTCACATTTGTTCTGAGCCCACGTTTAGTGAAAAAATGAGAATCTCCTTGAGGAAAATATAAATGTAAATTGTTACCAAAATCTCAATCAAAATAAAATGCATAATGTTGAATTTTTGAAATAATAAAAAAAAAGGGAAAAGTGCATTTTCAATTCTCAAACACACATCTTGATAATGGAAGATGTCTAAATATCTCAAAAGGGAAAAATGTGGGTTTATCTTTTATCAAAATATGAGAAATATTTAATCAATTCTCTTTTGGAAGTATTGTTAAATTACAATAGAACATATATCATAAAATCTTTAAGTATTTATACGCACTGGTAATTTAAGTTCCAGGTAGTACAAAAGGTTCTGTTGGGCACATGGCAAGTGCAAATTCAGCATTATCTTATCTTGGTGACCAGTAACTACGTGGAAGGAATTGGGTAAGAAATTATTAAGCAATTGTACTATCGATAATTAAGCAGTCCAGTGAGTTCATTCAATAAAATGCTCTACTCTGCTTCTGTTATAAATGGCTATAAATAAGCACATCAAATGTTCAGTGTTTCTATTAAACAATTTATCAATATAAATTATACTTCTATGCAACTTTATAATCTGGTTCCTAACAGTAGCCCTTAACATCACAAAGGCAAATGAATTTGCGAAATCAACAAAGAACTGTATGAAGTCTTTTAAATCATCAAGAACTGTATGAAGTGCTTTAAACCACGTGGGAACATGGCTAGCGAAGTAGTTATTTTGGATGTGATGCTTCAGCATGACAAAGCCTATAATCACAATGAACATCTAGGATGTTCGACACACAGTACTGCTTAGCAGAAGAATAAGAAATTTAAACTTATTTTTATTTGTTAATATTTCCCAATAAAGTCAAATTGTATATACCGAACATTCTACTAAGGTAGAATGCTACCTCTTTTGGATCAGTCAGCAACCGAAGTATAGCAGCGTCTATTGCATCCTGGTTTTGTGTTTGAGAGGCTCGGGTTGCTATGAGAACAACAGTATCTGTGTCAACACTTTTAGGAAAAACCTGTGGACAAGCACATGGAGTACAAAATAGATGTTACATTCTGTTGGTTATGGTAAACACAGAAAGTCAGTGAGAAACCACCCGGTATATAACTTTTATAAGATTCTTATCGACAGTGAACTTATTAAGAGGCAAAGTTGCCGTCTTATCACTACAAAGCAAGTCCATGCTTACCATCTTTTCTATAGCTGTCATTTTCTTTGTAATAGCTTCTTGTAGATATATAAATTTGTTAGTGAGCATTCAGCTGAGGTATACAACAAAAAACGAGCAAGAGCAGAGACTAAAAGAATCTGATGTAATTTGGATTACAACACCTAATCTTATAAATTCTTAGCAATGCCAGCAATTCGTCACTGTGTTGGACAGAGTTCAGAACAAATAATAGATGGTAGCCAGGGGATGTTTCTTTACAACCTATACAGAAATTGATTACAGTAAAGAAAATCATATTTTTCATAAATTGATAAACATGAAATGATAAAATGTAAAATAAACAACTTTACCTGATATTAGCAATTGATGGACCAGTACTACTGCTGAAAAATGACATTGTGAATTGGGAGTTTTTCCAATTGAATTTAAGTTGGAACATTGACGTTAAGATGTCGTAGAAATTATTGATTGCTGGCAAATGTCTAGTACCATCTTTCGTTTGTATATAGTCATTTTGTCTGGAGAAACTAATTCAATAGGATATCCAAAAATGAAGCACTTTATGTAATTTAGCAAAAAAACTCCACAATTTGGCCAATGGAAGAAGATAAATTTTTTTATTAGAATAAATTAGTTATGAAATGAAAGTGAAGTGAGAAGTAAGTAAATAATATTTACCCTTTAGTTGTACAAGGTAAGTAGGGTATAATCTCTATTTCCAGTTGTTTGTTTCGATGTTTCTTTATAACTGGACTGACGGAAAGTTCTGACAGTAATAATAAATGGACCATATTTAATGTTGCGTTTGCATGATCCATGACTTCTTGTGTGGTATGAACACTATGGCCGCAATCATATATTTGGAATTTCCATTCTCGAAAACCCACACGGTAGAGATACCAATTGTTACCCGGATAGAAGCACTGAATTAATAAGTAATTACATACTAACCATGGGCGACCATTTGATGGGAAAATGCCATTTACGTATTGTTCTAGATGATGAAGATTCAGTGATGAATCTTTACTTGCAACTCCTTCTTTTCTGCTTCTATACATCGTGAACTCGTGAGCACATTCAGCTTCAAATCCANACTTTTATGCATCGTTAACTTCTGAGCACATTCAGCTTCAAATCCAAAATCAAGAATTGCATATACATTAGAAAGACGGGTGCGACCGTCTTTGATAAGTCGCCTCAACAAATTTAGTTCCACGTCAAGATTCTAATAAATTAAATAAGGATGAATGGAATATATTAATTGACGGAATAGATAACTATAAATGAAATATATTGAGTATAATCAATGATGAAGTAATATTACTAACCTTAGTATTGATATCTTCTCTTATATCCATTATACTTTTCAAAACATCTCTGCTGTGGAGATTGCCACCTCCTTCATCCAAATATGATCTGCATAAAAATGAGATAATTGAAATTAGTTTTAAATGAATGAAACTAAAATGTTAATATTTAAGTTAGATTATTTACCTTGATGGATTCTTTGATATCCAATCTCTAAGGACAATATATTTTTCCATATCGTAATCTTCCAAAGTATAACTTTCGAATGCATAACTTGTCCAACATCTTGAACCTCTTATGCTTGTTGAGATGTTGAAGCATCCTTTGCGATTACACTTTGTTGGGGATGAATATCTTCCTGGAAGGAAGCCATAATACCTTCCATATTTGTTTTCCAACCTGATATTGTATTCATCATATTGTTATTTTCTTCATCTATGTAAGACCTCACTGAAACTAAACTTGTATCTATGTAATTCTGCATGTTGGACTGCATGTCTTGATACTGTTGTTGTTGCCATTGTTGTTGTTGTTGAAAGTTGTCTTGTTGCCATTTTTGTTGTTGTTCAAATAAGTGTTGTTGGTTGCGAAGAATTGCCTCATAGCGGCTGTCCTGTTGTTCAACAATGTTTGTTTGCAAATTGTTGCACAAATTTGATACATCTGATACTACATGTTGTCTATATATGTCAAACATATTCTCCATCTCTTCTTTTGTTATGTAATTAGAGCTAGAACTTTGGCCACCTTCAGCAGCGTAATTGGAGCTAGAACTTGGGCCAGGTCCAGGTAGTATATTTGCATGGATTTCTTCGGTTACATTGTTGATATCTCTACCTGCAATGACATCTAATACA